CATTATGAAGAAACCACACCAAATAATGACAAACAACCACATAAGAAAGTTATGGCTTTCCATATACGCTCTTCGTTGAGTACAAAGCGCTAAGCGCTTGACAATAAATTGGAGGCGCATGAAAATGGTGACATAAGAACGCTTGTGTCGGTCTGCAAAATGATTTCGAAGCAATAAGGACATATTCCTAGTACAGCACGTTATGTATTACACCCGTGTAGTTCATTCTACCTTTTCGGCCCCTGAGATGTGCTGTCGTCACGGAGTTAATTTAAGTAAAAGCGAGAAACTATGTCACAGCCAGTATAAGAGTAGAAACGTAAACTTGATTCTCAATTAACGCTGTTTTAGAAGTATATTTTGAGGTAATTTGAGCTATAGTTTGGAATTTTCGTATTTCGTTCGTTTGAGAATTTTGATGTATCAGTTTTTGGATAATTTATTAAAGTAACCAAAAATCTACAAAAACAAATATTGAAATTTTGATTGCTGTATTTGTTCTTTGCAGTTTTTGTTTCAAAAAATCCGATGCATTAAGTGAACGTTGGTTGAATACGTTGGTTAAAAATGATAAAGAAACACAGTTTAAGGGTAGAAGAACTGTAACCCCTATCCCCAGGGAAACTTATGCTTTTAAAGAGGACAAAAAAGTTGAGCATAATTATACTCTTTGTTAGGATATTAAATACAGTCTTAAAAGGTGTTTCGCAGCTGTAGGATAGGAAATTAGCGTAATTTCTTTCCTTAGGAACTATTTGCTCAAGTATCACCTTTTACGCTCAATATTTTAACCCAAACTTGAATAACTATCGATCAGTTTCACCTGCCTCATTAAACACCTCATTTGTTGGCTTCTCCTAACACCATCGGAATACAGCTCTTAAGCTGCATATAAATTATTTCTAATTTTCTCATTTTTGCACGAACGGACAAAGAAATCGTACTTATTTTATATTCTTTTAGTTTACCGATACGCGGGCAGCTGGAAACAACTTAGCTTTCGCGTATAAGAATAGAATTTATCTTTGAGAAACCCCGATTACGTAATCGTTTCTATTATGAACTTTCAATAGAGCTGCCGTTTTCAAGAGCTCAGTGAGAAATCTTTTAACTGCGAGCTGAGTTGAATCAAACGAAACCAGAAATAATAAACTGCTGTCAATCATAACAAGACTTGGCTAGTAACAGGCAAACCGAGGCACTTGTCTCAGTCAGTTTTTTTGTCGTCTGTGTTGTTTATAGTCATCGTAAACACCCAATGTGCCTAGGAAGAGTATTTAACCATGATTATTACCTCAGTCATATTTTTTTTTCGCTATGGCCCTATATATCTGCGGATGGTAGCACCGTTTTAGGATTTTTACTAATTTAAATGGTTCAGTCAACAGGCCTCTTCATTGTGGACTTTTCTCTAATCCACATGCATGTGAAGCCTTTTCTCGGCCGTTTGTCGGGAGTTTGTCGTATGTTTGTCGAGCTTTCGCATTTTTCTTAAAGGGTTGCAATTTTCAATTTTCTATAGAAATAGAAATTATTTCATATTACGCTTTTAGTCTACTGCATTGCGGATTGCGGAGTTCCTCCATCATTCAGCTCTTGAGTTGCATATAAACTATTTCCAATTTTCTGCTTTTTGCATGAACAAAGAAATCCTACTTATTTTATATTCTTTTAGTTTACCGACACGTGGCCAGCTGGAAACAACTTCGTTTTCTCATAAGAATAGTGTTTATCTTTGGGGAAACCCATTACGTAATCCAATTTGGAATAGAGCTGCCTTTGGAAAACAGGCAGTGGAAGACCTACCAAAAACAATCTCTGATATCAATTATACCCACTCCCTATTGGTGCTCTAAAATCTGTCTTGTAACACCGTTTTCGGATTTTTACAGTCATTAGCCCTTTCTTTAGTTGACTTTTCTCATTTGCATTACAATATAATCCACATGTATGTGAGTCCTTTGTTAGGCGTTTGTCGTCCGTTTTCCGAGCTTTCATATCTTTTTTGTTTGGTTGTTTGGTTTTAAAAAGAGGGGTTGCAATCAGCCCAAGTTACAAATCCTCAGGGCGCGGCTTCGGGAAGAGTGCAAATGCCCGCCGACCCATAGGACAAGATCAAAATTGTGCTTCAATGGCTAACAATGGAACTGAGCAATACGAATTCACAAATAAATGGAACTTTATTTTCACGATTAACACTAGCAATTATTGTTATGGGTTTTGGAAACAATGTGCCTGCGAAAAGTAACAAAACTTTGCTGTTGAAGGAAATCAGGAGCCATAATCGGGGAGGAAATAAGATACCAATGGGACAGAGCTGAAACT